GGTGTCTGCGCCGCGCACTGCGCCCCCTCGCGGCCGGCTGGGCACCGGGCGGGCTGCGCACACGGTGCGGCGCTGAACTCAAAGGAGAAAGCAAACCCTTCGGGGCGTCCTGCTACCGGCCTTCCCTCCCCCGCGCGCCCCTGGAGACCTTACGTTTTTAACCCTCCCTCATGCAGCCCTCCCGTCTCTCACCCCCTTCCAGATGCTTAGTAAAAATACGGGCTCTCCGCTTTCCCTCTCGGGTCTTCCTCCTGGAGCCCTTGATTCCTCCTGATACCAAACACGTGGTGCCTTTTCCAGCCGCAACCACCAGCTCCCCAGTTCTCGGCCTCCACTTCAGACGCCAGCCAGCCAGGTTACCCAGGCTCCCCACATTTCTGCCCAGCACACCACGAATTCACGGGTTTCCACACCCCGCCCCTCGGGATTGATCACTTCCTAGGACACTCGGAACTCAGGGAAGAGCTTTACTTACTATGAGCGGTTTGCTACGCGGGACACAACTCAGGAACAGCCAAATGGAAGAAAGGCATAGAAGGGGAGGGGACCCAGAGCCGCTCTGCCCTCTCTAGGGCCCCGTCCTGACAGCACCAAGCTCTGACCCCTTAGCTTAGGAGGTTTTCATGGGAGGGGAGAGGGGGCTGAAACTGCTAACCCTCTGATCACTCGGTTGGTTCCTCTGGCTACCTGCCCTCATCGCGTAGCCAAGTAGGAGCACAGCAATTATCACCTCATTAGCTCACACTCAGATTGGATTGAAGAGAACTCGTTATGAGTAACAAAGGCCTCTTATCACTCAGAATGTTCCAAGGTGTTTAGGAGCTTTGTGCCAGGAACTGGGGACAAAGGCCAAATATATATATTTTTATAATACTTCTCTAAACTCCAAAACCCAATGTAATCATGGGAAAACAGACACATTCCAATACAAGAACGTTCTACAAAATACCCGACCTCGACACTGTCAAGGTCATTCAAAACGAGAATTTCAGAGTTGTTGCAGCCAAGAGGAGCCTGAGGAAGTGGTTAAATGTAATGCGGTATGTGGATGGGACATTAAGGAAAAGCAGAGGAAATCTGGCCCGGCCGGTGTGGTTCAGTTGGCTGAGCACTGTCCCAGGCACCAAGAGGTCGCAGCTGGCTTCCCGGTCCCGGGCACATGCCTGAGTTTCAGGCTCAATCCCCAGTAGGGGGCATGCAGGAGGCAGCTCAGCTCATCCATGTTTCTATCTCTCCTTCTCCCTTCCTCTCTGTCTAAAGTTAATAAAAACATATTTTTAGGGGGGAAAAAAAAGGCCCTAGCCTGTTTTGCTCAGTGGTTAGATGGTCGTCCTGGGGACTGAGGGGTCCCTGGTGTGATGCTGGCCAAGGGCAGGCAGGTACCTCAGTTGCAGGCTCCATCCCTGGCCCTGGTGGGGGCTGTGCAGGAGGCAGCCAGTGATGTGTCTCTCTCACATCGATGTTTCTCTCTCTCTCCTCCCTCCCTTTCTCCCTCCCCCTTCCACTCTCTCTGAAAAGCAAGCAATGGAAAAAATATCCTCGGGTAAGGATTTTTTTAAAAAGCGGGGGGGGGGGCATTTATTGTCAGTTATATACCAGGCTTCTGTTCTAGGAGCATCCAGCCAAGGGTGAAATAGGGCTTGGACTAGAAATGGTCAAGGTTATTTTCCAGGAATGTAAGGGGAGGCCGACTCGCAAGGTTCAGGACAAATGGCCCGAGAAGACACTGGGACGAGAGATGCCAAAAGCCCTGTGTTCGTTCGCGAGGTCTGCCATAGCCAAGTGCCACAGATTGCATGGCTTAAGCAACAGGAGTTGACTTCCTCACGGTTCCGGAGGCTAGAGGTCTGAGACCGAGGTGCTGGGGGGCTGGTTTCTCCTGAGGGCCTCTCTCCTTGCCTTGTAGGTGGCCGCTTGCTCCCTTGTCCTCACATGGTCTCCCCTCTGCACGTGCCTGTGCCCTAACCTCTTCTTATGCGGACACGGTCATATTGGATTACTGATCTCATTTGACTTTAATTACTTCTTTAAAAATCCTATCTCCAAAGACAGTTACATTTTGAGGTACTGGGGATCAGGACTTGAACACAGAAATTTGGAGGGACACAATTCAGCCCATAACAAGCCCCCCCCCTTTTTTGTTGACCCGAGGATATTTTTTTCCATTGATTTTTAGAGAGGGTGGAAAGGAGGGAGGGAGGGAGGGGGAAAGAGAGAGAGACATCGATGGGAGAGGGGCACATTGATTGGTTGCCTCCTGCCCTGACTGGGGGCTGGGGATCGAAGCTGCAACCCTTTGGTGCCTGGGCTGGAGCTCTAACCACTGAGCTCACTGGCCAGGGCCATAACAAGCCCCTTTTTATGAGGAGCTAGCTGCACAGCACAGGGCAATGCCTGCCACCCCCTGCAGACAGGGCAAGAAGAGGCCGTCAAGATGGACTCAGTGGAGCTGCGAAGGGTCTCAGATGTCGTGTGTACAGCTCCCTCCCAGAGAGCCAGGCCAGGTCCAGTTGACACGGAGCTGGTTTCGCTGTGGAATCCTGGGGGCTGGAACAGGTGAGGTGGGCAGGTCCTTGGAGACCCTAGATGAAGACTGAGCCCAGGGATGAATGTGTAAATGGTTCTAGTACCATTTCCAATGCGTGGAGGTTGTTCCCACAGCACCAAGCAGTTCACAGACACCAGGGGCTGTCCTACAACTCAACTCAGCTTGGATACTATCTTACCTGGAAGAGTATCAGATCCCACAGGTTAAGGGCTCAGTCGTGTCCCCCCCCACCCCAATGTCCTTCCCCCCATGTCAGATGCCAGTAGCAAGCCCAGATTATGTTACCTATTATCTGGTTTGGGGGCAAAAAATTATTTTCAGAAACTGAGATTGTCATTGCCAATAATTTATTTAACATAGGTTCACTGCAGGAATTACAATAATTTCACAAGCCAATAAAGTACGGGATAATGTCTCTTAAGAAACCAATAAAGAAATACTCCAAACCAATGGCAGATTAATTACATTATTGTTCCAGGCAAGGGGGAGATGAAAGAAATAAAGCCCAAATTTAGTCTGAGATGGACGTTTCTATGAGCTGGCTCTCAGAAAGGTCGGCCTAACCAACCAAGAACTGACGTCCAGGTGCCAGTGAAAAACAAAGTTCCTTGCTGCTCAAGCATGTTGCTAGTGTTAGCGGGCAAGACAGTCCTCTCCCAGGACCACTGCCCAGTTCTCTTTTTCGCAGCCCGAGCTGATGACCCAGGGTCTTCAGAGAGCTCCTAGATCAGCAAAGAGTGGCCCTTCCCAGACTGAACACTGTCGGACAGTCTTCACAAACTCTAGGTATTCATAGGGCCCCCTCACCGTAGTTACTTCTCCACAGGTTCTTATCCATAAGCTCTCAGCAGCACCCCTCACCTCACTCTTGTATCAAAATAACTACTTGTAAAAACAACTTTCTTTTTGCCATAAACAAGTGGGTTTAAAATCGTATCAAACCACACACAAGACCCGTGCTTCTGACAGCCCAGCCATAGATCAGAGGTTCCAAGGACCCCTCCTTGCTTTCAAATGATTTGCTAGGGTGGCTCACAGAACTCAGAGAAACATTTTACTTACTAGCTCACTGGTTTATTACAAAAGGATGTAAGTCAGGAACAGCCAGATGGAGGAGATGCATGGGACAAGTTATGGGGAAAGGGTGCAGAGCTGTCATGCTCTCTCCAAGTGCCCCACTCTCCCCAAATCTCCATGTATTTATCAACCTGAAAGCTCTCTGAACCCTGTCCACATAAGTTTTTATGGAGCTTCATTACATAGTCATGATTAATTAAATCACTGGGCACTGGCAGTTGAATCAACCTCCAGTCCTCTCCTTTCGCCAGAGAGACCAATGTGACCAACCACCATGTCACCAATCATATGGTTGGNCTCGCCAGAGAGACCAATGTGACCGACCACCATGTCACCAATGATATGGTTGGTTACCCTGACAACCAGCCTCCAACCTTTGGTGCTTTCCAAATGCCACCTCATTAACATAAACTCAAGTGTGACTGAAAGGGATTTGTGAGAAATATTAAGATATCTCTATCACTCTTATCACTTAGGAAATTCTAAGAGTTTCAGAAGCTCTGTGTCAGAAACAGGGACAAAGACCAAATATATATTTAATTACAATATCCCAATGTGTGACACTGTCCATGGGAAACAGCAAAAGAGCAAAGCAGAGATGGTTCCAGTGTCCAGATTTCAGTCATCACGTGGTTAAGCTATGGAGATCTGCAGTTGCAGAGAGCAGTTTGGTTAGAAACGTTTACAGCAACCCCTCTTTCACACCTTGAATACAAATTTCATATTGGAAAGGTTTATTTCCAAAAGCAAATTCAGGCCTTAAAGTAATTATTCAAAACCAAATATGTGTAAATCTAGCAATTTGACTTCTGAGTATATACTCAAAAGTACTGAAAGCAGGGACTTATATGAGTGCTGTCCGTAACAGCTCTATTCACAGGAGGCAGAAAGTAAAAGCAACCCTAGTGTCCCTCAACAGATGAATGGATAAACAAAATGTGGTACATGTACACAGCGGAATATTAGTCAGCCTTGAAAAGGAAGGCAATTCTGGTCCATGTACAACATGAATGAACCTTGAGGACATTATGCTAAGTGAAATTAGCCATTCACAAAAAAACAAATACTGTATATTTTACTTATATGAGGTCCCTAGAATAATCAAATTCATAGAACAGAAAGTAAAATAGAGGTGACCAGGGGCGGAGGGAGGGAGAAATGGGGGTTGTTTGTTGGGTACAGTCCAGTTTAGGGAGATGGGAAAGTTCTGAAGGTGGATGGTGGTGAGGGCTGCACAACCAGGTGAATGTACTTAATGCCCCGACCTGTACACGTGAAACTGCTTCAAAACGGTTAAAATGGAAATTTTATTGTTTGTATCATACCACAATTTTTAAAAATAAAAATAAGTTAACAAAAATTTTATTGATGGATTTTAGAGAGCAAGAGAAACATGGATTTGTTGTTCCACTTATTTATGCATTCGTTGTTTGATTCTTGTATGTACCCTGACCCAGGATCGAACCCGCAACCTTGGTATATTGGGACGATACTCTAACCCACTGAACTACCTGGCCAGGGCAAAATAAATTCTTTAAAAAAAAAAAAATCTTTGTTGATTTCAGGGAGAGGGAGGGAGGGAGAGAGAGAGACAGAAACATCAATGATGAGAGAGTCATTGACCCGCTGCCTCCTGCACGCCCCCTGCTGGGGATCAAGCCCACAACCCGGGCCTGTGCCCTGACCGGGAATCAAACCACCATCTCCTGGATCCCAGGTCGATGCTCAACCGCTGAGCCACTCCGGCCGGGCCAAAATAAATTCTTAAAAAACAAAATACCACCCTGGGCTGTGTAGTCAGTTGGTTGGGCGTCGCCCCGTACACCAAGAGGTTGCGGGTTCAATTCCCGGTCAGGCCACATGCCTGGGTTTCAGGCTCAATGCCCGGTGTGGGGCATGCAGGAGGCAACTGGGCGATGTTGTGCTCTCACATCAATCTCTCTTCCTCTCTCTCTAAAAATAAAAAATAAACAACAAGAACCAAAATAAAAATGTATCTTATTCCCATGGATCAAATGCACTTTTTTCATCTATAAAAAGTCTTTCAGCAAATAACAATAGCAACAGCCATAACAACATCTTGTAGCCTCTGACTCAGCTCTGGGAGCCTGCAGGGCGCTCGGGGGAGCGGGTAACAGGAAGCAGGGTCTGCCTAACCCAAGGAAAGGAAATGGGCTTCCCTGCTTGTCTTCAGCAGTGTTTATGTAAAAATATTCTGCCCTCGGAGATGTTTTGACTTTTGGGATCCTTCTCCTAGGCAAGCCGGAAACCCTGAGAGTTAACAATCTCTACTCTTTGTTTCTAAGCAATGACTGAGAGTCAGCATAAGAAAAAGAATTTTTAATTAAAGGGAGCAGAGCAAGACATAGAACCTCAATTGTATCTGTTTCCCACATCACCTCCCAGGCAGGAATGCACACACGAGGTTATGCGGTTTTTCCCAGCTTATAAAGCATGGGCCTAATGAAAAGTTCCTTAAGATTTCTATACCCTTTGCCAAATTACTTCCTCTCATAAAGATCTTCCTTGGACCCCAAAATGTTTAAGATTAAAATGTAATTATAACACAAAAGTCCACTGAATTCCCAACTGTCTCAACAACAGTGTGTTTCTTTTATTGCATTTCAATTATTCTAACTGCAGAAAGAACTCTGGAAAAGAAGACCCCACAATACTTTTATTCTATATTGCCAACAAATTTATTTTTCATTAAATTCATTTTCACCAAAAACACACATAGTTAATGATGTTCGTGATGGTTTGTGGAGTTAGACTACAACAACTCCTTGAGTGTAGAGCATCTACATAAATTATTTGGGACTCTTCTGTAAAGGAGACGTGCCTCTTCCCCCCACTTACTCATTTCTTCAATATTTATTGATATCAGTAAGAGCGCATTGATATTCAGTTTACGCTTTGGGTTAAATCCATGCTACTTTACTTTGTTGCTCAGATTGTCCCAGTTTTGGCCATTGTGACCTTACACGTACTTGGCAGAAGAAAACAAAACACAAACAAAAAGACGAAACTGAACGTACAGCTGCTGCGTTGGGTTCTTTCCCCCTTTAAATTTATTCTGAGTGGCATCCAGTTTCCAAAGCCCACGCACCCGAGGGACATCAGTGCTGACTCTCTAACGAGATGGGGACTTTATCTGATGTCTCTGAACCCCAGTTTCTTCATCTGTAAAATGAAGATCATGCCTGTTCACGGGGCTGAGGTGAGGATGACATGGATAGTTTATATTAATAATATGTGGCCCACAAAGGGACGGATGACTCCAGTTATATGAAGAAGCTGGGAGTCCAGTCCAGAGAGACGGAAAGTAGACTGCTGGCTACCAGGGGCAGGGGGGAGGGGGAATGGGTGTGGAGTTTCCAAAGTTCTGGAAACGGACGGTGGTGATAGTTGCAAACAACGTAGGTGTACTTCATGCCGCTGAGCTGTATTTGAAAACGGTCAGTTTTATGTTATGTATATTTTACCACAATAAAAAAGAAATGTATGCTTGTTGTTGAAAAGTTAGAAAACATGTTTTGCTTTACCTTGAATAATCCCAGTACTCAGTGGCCGCTCGTTTTGACACATGCATCCTCTGCGTACATTTTGGCTCCTACTCATACAATTTTGTTCTTCTAACGTCGTATCATGTATATTTTCCCACGCTGTCCAAAACTCAGTAAACGCTTTTATTCGTTGCATGATAGCCCACCATTATTTATTACCAATCATTGCCATATTTTTAGATGAATTTTTCAACATTATAAATAGCGCTATAATGAACACCTCTCTGTGATTAAATACATCTTGTTCCCATTTCAAAATACATCTTTTGGGGTATACTTTTTGGTATAGATAAGGAAGTAGAATTACTGGGTCCAGAGGCGACCATTTTTAAGGCACAGGGCATAAGCTGTCCTACCTCCTCAGAAAGGGATGCTGATTACATTGTCCCCAGCTACCTGGAAGACACTCACTTCTAGGCACCGGCACCGGCGGTCCGCTCTTCCTTCATAAAATCTTTCCCACCTGGGTGGAGTAAATACAGTATCTCATTGCGGCAATGTTGCCTCTGCGTGAGTGTCTTTTAAAGTCATTTGTATAAAATTTTACGTAGAAAGGTTATTATCTTCCCCCCTCTTTGCCTTTAGTTAAGTTTATTTACTGTCCGAATCCGTTGCTCGTCAAAGAAACAGTGGAAAATGTTAATGTTTTAAGTTTTTCTTTTTTTAACCCATTAATTTAAATGACATCAGGTGAGCTTCCGTTAGCAGCCGCAGGGTGCGTGGGGCGCTGAGCTCGGAGGGAGGGCCCGAGGCCAAGCGCCCGGCCCTGGGCGCCAGCGCTGCGCCCCCGACCC